ATGTTGTGTCGTATTAACCTGGATTGCTGTCTCTTGTGTAGCTGCGTTTGTTTCCGCCATTGCGCAAAGTTGTTGCTCAATGCCGCCACACTGTCCAGCATCCCCGTCAAATCGTCTTCTAACGCGTCGACCGTCGACGTCAATTGGGCCACGGCAGGGGACGGACGGAATGTCGTGTCACCTTTCAGCATCAAGGCATTCATCTTGGCTTCTTGTCGTTCCAAGTTGAGACTCAGGTTGAGATCCAATCGTCTCTCGACCGACGCAAAGCCCCAGCTCCGATTGGACGATCCATTATTATTGGTACTACTACCGCCAGTGCTGGTGGCATTGTCGGCATCTTTGTTGACGTTGAACACGTCGTCCAGAGACAGCTCGGGTTCGTCGACTTGGGGTGCTCCCATGGTTGCTTCAGTAATTGTTGTTTACTTTCACTCTTTCGTTTGTGTGATCGAGTTCAAGCAGACGAGAGGATGTGCTGCAGACTGAAGCTTTTGAGGTCTGTTGCCGGTATTACCGTATCCAGTGTTGCCATGTCGCTTGTCGTGGACAAACGATGAGGACGAGTTGGTTGCAGCGGTTTGCAGCTAGATTTTAAGCTGGCATGCAATGTCTGTGAGTCGATGTTGAAGGTCATTGAAAGAAAAATGTGTCTCAGTGGTGAAAAATGGATTTAACATTTCGTCTCCTTCTACTTAATAGCGTTCATGGCCAGGTCTCGTGCTTGGTCGCGGATGACTTCCCGGGGATCTGGTTGGTTGGTGGGTTGGGAATGTGGGATTGGGGATGTGGGAGTCGAGTCGAGTGATAGTCGAGTCGACTCAGTCGACTCAAGTCAAGGGAAGTTTGGAAGAAAAACGTTGGGGAGATGCACCTCAGGAAGGCCCCGTCGTGCGTGATTTGTATCGCCAAAATGGTCCCGCTTAACCAAAAGTCGCGTGTAAAGTCGCATGCAAGTCGCACGCGAGTCGCGTGAAAGTCGTATGCGACTTTCTCAAACCAAATTGAAAGTCGTGCAAAATTTGCAGTTAACAACAGACAAAGTCGCGTCGAATCTCCAAAAGTCGCGTGTAAAGTCGTATGAAAGTCGTGTGCGAGACGCGTGCGAGTCGTGTGCGACTTTCCACGCGACTTTCAGCGATCCGCGCGTTTTTAACAAAAACCAGGCATGAAGGGGCCTTCCAGAGGCTGTCTGAGGGATCCACCTACCTTATGGTGGTCAAATCCAGGATGTAAGCCAGCTTTAAGCTGTTAATATTCGCACCAATTTCATCGCGAGAGATCTAGTAAAACAACAAACAATCGATCCAACACCAGCTGCTGCTAAAGGTGAGCTGTAATCGATG